TAATCATTAACTATAGCATTGGTGTTACTAGTAGAAAACAAATCGTATTGAAAACAATAAATTATTAGATAAGTCATTATAAAAGTGTATAATCATAGTCAACTTAAAGATAATAAAAACACTCGAAAAAGGAATGTTAAAATAACGATGTTGCTATTCTTTCTCTTTGGCTTTGTTTTTAAATTCTTTATTTCTGTTACATTTATTATTACATTTAAATTTACAGCTGGTCGCCGCTCATCGGTGACATTTGATCACATTGACGGATTAAAGGTATTTTAACCTCTAGATTAATTTAAATTCTTTCTTAGGTTTCTCTTTATCCAAAAATTGTACAATTCACCATAGTTACTTATCGCCCAATCACAGCTTACTAAACATTACGTCGTCATCAGTCCTCAGTGAATGAAATCAGCTGTCAGTTGCAACATAGCGCGCGCAGCGACAGCAGACGGAGATGTGTAAAACGGAGTAGACGAATGTTAGCGCAAGCGATGACGTCACCTTTCCATTTCATTTGATAAAGAAACAGATTTTTCAAAAACAATAATGGGGTGGGGGGATTTGTTATATCGAGGGAAAGACGTAGACAATTCGTTATGCAGAGGTTAAATTCGCAATGTAGAGGTTCTGACAATGATAAATTCATTATATTGAGGTGTCGTATTTTAGCCGAAATCACAAAAAAATTGTTAAATCAAGGTCTTTGTTATGGTTTGTTTGTTATGTAGAGGTAAAATATACATTGTGTCTTATGGAGAGTTCTAGGGGATTAAAAAAAATTCTTTATATCAAGGAATTCGTTGTATTGAGGTTCGTTATATCAAGGTTAGACTGTATAATGTTATATAATACATAATATAACATTATGTATTATTACTCTGAGCTACTACTTGATACTTGTTACCATTATTACTAGGCACAGTCTTTTTTGGTTATTATTTATTGTAGTTCTCAGGTCTCATTCAGTATTCATTGTCAGCTTTATTATTTAATATTATTGCAAGATTTTTGTTATCCCTGACAATAACTATTTATTTGCACTACTTGACTTAATTATTAGTTATAGTTCATAGGTTCAATTAGCATAAATTACTTATTTACAACTTTCAGCCTCTGCCATCTTGTAAATCTAGTTGTAGACAAAATTGTATTTATAATGGAGAAACCGTTGGAATATATAAATAAATAAATGATAAAAGATGGAGTAACTTACTGGTAAACAAGTAAGTTGTTCTTTAGAATTAAAGCAAAAGGATTTTTATATAGGCTAATGTTTACATAATACTAGTCTTCTATACTATCTATACTATTATATAAAAATCTAATGGTGTCTGTCTGTATGTGTGTTACTAATAGGTGCAAAAACTACTGACCCAGCTGGGCTTAAATTTTACAAAAATATAGCTACCATACCAAGGACCATTATAGGACTATTCACATTTCGATACTGACCGTAGGGCTTTACCCCTTTGGCTTTAAAAGTTCAGAGGTGAACATTTTAAAAGTAAATATTGATTGGTCTCCATGGCTGCGATGAGAATACTAACAATGTTTGTTTACATTTGCTTTGAAATTTAAATGTAAACAAGAAGAACTGCTAAACTGCATATTTCACAATTTCAGACAGCTGATACAAATAAATTAAATATAATCTTTTCCATAACTATGAGGTAGGTTTATTTTAATCTAACCTTTTATCATGGATTATTTATTCTAAAAACTATGTCAATGATTATAGAAAAAAAGATTCTATAACCGTTGTTGTATCAACTCCGGCTCTGCTTTGGATTTTTTTAAAGCGTCTAAGTTATGAAAATATTGTTATTGATATGTTTTTATGGAAACAGTATGAAAATTACAATGTATGGATGTTTTGTATGAATTTGAAGGCTACTTTAACCCTCCGAGGGTCCCTAGTTTTGGCCTTAATGTTTGCCTATTTTTTGCACATTTGCAAGGTTTTATTAAAACGGATCTGAGAAGCTTATAAACAATGTTAATTATACTGTTCTATATACCATTTTGTTTGGAAAATCATGGGCTTCAATATTATACATAAAACATAAGGAACATTTGTTACAAAAAATTTTTTAAGTAAAAAAAATTTCTTTTTGGAAAATTTTCAAAAAAAAAATAAGATCGCGCTCAATGAAGTTGTATAAATTATAGGCCTATAAATATTTGAAAATAGCCACTTTGTTCTAAATTTTATGAGGATTACAAATATATAATCATATAAGGAAGTAGATCTGCAAATAAATAAGTTATGGGCAAAAAACAGATTTCGGTACATAGCGTTTAGCTAAAAATGCATAGCCTAACCATAGCTAGGAATCTGGCTGATAATTTACATCAATATCACTACCTACTTCTTCAGGATCATCAACCAGCCCTTCAAAATCATTTAAATCTTCTTATAATGCACCACGTATATCACTACTTTTGATTTTTAACTCTAAAACAATGATAAACATAATAAAACACATCAGTCATTGGTCCGAGGTTAACTAACCTGTTTACAAATATGCACGTCAGCTGTCTGCTACAATTACGATCGGCTCGGAGAACATACAGCGCTTAGAGACAGACCTTTAGAAATCTTAGAATCTAACGAAAAGAACGATACCTAACTCGATCCAGTTCAATCCAATTTTGTCAGTCATAGAGCCTTTGCTGTAAATAGTGTTTGTGAGTCGAAAAATCGACACAAAACACTACACAAAGTGTGTTACTAGGAGGGTTAAATAAATTCGAACTGCTTAACATGTGTTAGATTAACTTAACACAACTTGCACATCACATTGTTTTTTATATGTTAGGTAAATTAAGTTATTGTGTTTTGCTAAACCTATGCTTAAATTAAACTAAAGAATATCATCAATAACTAAATTGTACGTTGTTGATTTTTGTTTTCTAAAATCTGTTGTATATGTGTAACTATATTTAATTATCAAATGGTAATACAAAATACTCTTATTTTATCTTAACATAGCTTTCAGTTCACATTTACTTTAGGCTATTCGATACATTTATTATTTGTGTTTTGCATTTTTTTAGTCCTCGATGCTTTGATAATCATAGTTTTGTCTGCTGTCTTTAATGCTAAATTATTTGTTTAAAATTTTTTATAGTACCTATTGATATAGTTTCTTTAATATTTCAAAAGACTGTATTGATAAGGCAGGCACAACAATATTTCTAAAGTTTATAACAGCTGACTTAGATTTGCTAATGATTTAATGTGAGTGAAGAAACTGAAGATGGAAGGATTTGTGATTTAATATAAAGAAGAGTGAAATTTAACCCTCCGAGTGTTTTTTGATTTGTCGCTGCAGCGACACATAACACACTTTGTGTAGTGTTTTGTGTCGCTGCAGCGACTCACAAACACTGTTTACGGCGAAGGCTCTATGACTGACAAAATCGGATTGAACTGGATCAAGTTAGGTATCGTTTTATTTGACAGATTCAGAGCTTTCTCCGGAGGTCTGTCTCTAAGCGCTATTCATTTTAGATCCGAAAATATTGTAGCAGACAGCTGACGTGCGTACAGCAGCTGAGCGTGCTGTAAACAGCTTAGTTAACCTCGGACCGATGACTGATGTGTTTTATTACGTTTATCATTGTTTTAGTGTTTAAAATCAAAAGTAGTGATATACGTGGTGCATTATAAGAAGATTTAAGTGATTTTGAAGGGCTGGTTGATGATCCTGAAGAAGTAGGTAGTGATATTGATGTAAATTATCAGCCAGATTCCTAGCTATACATTCTAGCTATGCATTCTTAGCTAAACGCTATGTACTGAAATCTGTTTTTTGCCCATAACTTATTTATTTGCAAATCTACTTCCTTATATTATTATATATTTGTAATCCTCATAAAATTTAAAACAAAGTGGCTATTTTCAAATATTTATAGGCCTATAATTTATACAATTTCATTGAGCGCAAACTTATTTTTTTTGAAAATTTTCCAAAATATTTTTTTTACCTAAAAAATTTTTTTGAAACAAATGTTTCTTATGTTCTATGTATAATATTGAAGCCCATGATTTTCCAAACAAAATGATATATAGAACAGTATAATTAACATTGTTTTCAAGCTTCTCAGATCCGTTTTAATAAAACCTTGCAAATAAGCAAAAAATAGGCAGACATTAAGGCCAAAACAAGGGACACTCGGAGGGTTAAAAAAGATTCATTTAAATTTAATAATTAGTATTTTTGCAACTTCAAAATTGAAATTTAAAAAGTCAATAAAAAATTAAAAGATATGTAATTAAGGGAGATGAAGGTAAATCATGTATGTCAAAGTTTTATTCGAAGATTTGGTCAGTTTTTCTCATATCAGCCTATACAAGATTTAAAATTAATCAAAACCAAAATGGTGGTATCCACTACTTACCAGATTTAAAAGTCATAACTTAAACGTTTCTATTACGGCTATAAAAGTTGAATTTTGTTTCTAAAAGCATTGGCGGATGTGTAACTATTAAATGCAACAGATGTAAAGATGAAAATGTTTCTATTTTGTGTCCTCTTCCCGTTGCAAAGCACGTGTACATCTTTTTTGGTTATTATTTATTGTAGTTCTTAGGTCTCATCCAGTATTCATTGTCAGCTTTATTATTTAATATTATTGCAAGATTTTTGTTATCACTGACAATAACTATTTATTTGCACTACTTGACTTAATTATTAGTTATAGTCCATAGTTTCAATTAGCATAAATTACTTATTTACAACTTTCAGCCTCTGCCATCTTGTAAATCTAGTTGTAGACAAAATTGTATTTATAATGGAGAAACCGTTGGAATATATAAATAAATAAATGATAAAAGATGGAGTAACTTACTGGTAAACAAGTAAGTTGTTCTTTAGAATTAAAGCAAAAGGATTTTTATATAGGCTAATGTTTACATAATACTGTAGTATTTTTTAATATAAAGTCTGTTAGCCTACTTCAAAGTTTGGCCAATTATAAGTAGGCCTACTTACCCATTAAGATATGCTCAGCATTAATTGTCCGTTTTTGTTGTTGGTTACATATTTCATTTGCTTCTGATGATATAAGGTGAATGAATTCAGTACAACAGTTCAATATTAGTTCTCTTGACTCGTTTGCCACACGTATATTTGGTAGTAGTTCTTTTATCATTTTATTGACTGAAGCTCTTGGTAGGGTAAGCTCATCTTCATCTCCTGAAGCCACACTACTCGTGGAAGTCATTCTTCAACGGTTATAATTTCCTAATCTGAAATCACAAATTACAAAATGTATTAACCAACACTTGTACAAATATTCTTCTCCTAATAAATTACAGAATTTAATTCATGTAGGCCTATAATATGATAGGTCACGTACTTTTTTGTCGGTCCTCAGTCTTTTAATTTAATATGGGCTATTAATTAACAGCTGTGTCTAAGGAACATGTCGGCCTTAGTCACTAACAAGACTACAAGATCACGCCACTCATCCTACACTCATCCTTCACTCATATTTGGGTTAAAATACGCACATAGTGGCGTCCCCATCTTAACTAATTGATATTGATATTGATATAATTAGTCTTGGGTGAGTAGTTTGGGGTACAAGGACTCATTTTTAAACCCACATCAAATTGGTTCAGGCTGGTTGATAAATCTGACGGAAGTCTTTGTTGATATATAAACACATGTTGACACATAAAGTTGTGTCTGTCGTGCAATCTGCGTTGATCTGTCTTTCTATTAAATGTGGCCTGCCTACCTAAATTTTGTTATGTTTTTATATTAAAATTGTTAACTTTATGTGTCAACATGTGTTTATATATCAACAAAGACTTCCGTTGGAGTTATCGACCAGCCTGAACCAATTTGATGTGGGTTTGAAAAAGGGTCATTGTATCCTAAATTAGTCACCCCAGAATAATTAAAAGACTGAAGACAGACAAATAGGTACGTAACCTATCATATTATTTGTACATTAGTCTTAGTGGCAAAAATGTTTTAATTCATGTAGGCCATTAATTAACTTAATTCATGGGTTTTTTTATATATACCATATCTTTGTCATATGGTATCCATATGGTATATAAAACTAGATACCGTACCAGATACCCCCGCTGTAGCAAAACTACAGACTAAGCAAATTTCAATTTGTCTGATTGGATTTTCATTTAAATATTTTCTTAAACATATCAGATAAACGGAACATGTTAGGAAATATCGGTGAAGATTTTTAGATCATTGGAAAATAGTAAATCATTGGTTTTCACAGCATCACTAATTAATTAATAAAGATGTTAAATAACCATGGACCTAATATGTAGCCCTGTGGGACGCCGGAAGATTTAGTAATTACCCAAGTTTCGTGAGCCCAATTTTGACTATCAAGGAGCGATTGGACAAGGATTCAGTAATCCATAAAATCAGGGCAAGGTATCCATAATACTGTACCCTTTCAATTTGTACACTAAGATATTATGATCTTCTTTGTCATGCTTCGGCTATATCTATGTAGATCATATCAACCTGGTTATTGTTGTGGAAGGCAGATAGTATAGATTCTTGAAACAAGTGGGACTCTCCTATTAACTTTCCAGGTAAAAAACTATGCTAAATAGGGTGGATGATTTTTGAAAAATTGTATTTGAGTCTATCACCCACAATACTTTCCAACCAATACCAGGGAGTGGGTGTGGCATCGGCGCATACACACCAAGGAAGGAGATTTGTGGATTAAGGGGTTGATCGGCTGAATTTACTGTTTATTATTGATTTTATTGATTGATTAGTTTTATGATCAGTGATTACTATTGCCCTAGTGCAATTATGATTTTAAATTGGTCTATTTAGGCATGTAATCAGGATCTTCTGTCTCTGTTTGTCACAAAGAAATCTTTGCTACAAGTACAATTTGTTATAGTGATAATAACCTAAAGGCTTTACATTTATATTTCACAAAGACTTGTATAGTCAAATATTCCATTCTCTTGAACATATCTCATAAAACCATTGTCTCTAAGATAGAATTAAAACACTAGTTGTCATCCATACACAAAGGAAATAAATAACACATTTAAATATGAATTAATATTTTTAATATTTTTATTTATTGGTAAGAATTTACAATAGGTATGATAAGTTGATATACAGCACTATTTATATGTATTCCAAAACATTTCCCAAGTATGGGGAGCAACATTAAAGTATTCAGAACATGGCTGTTTAATATGGTAAGTATAGGTTCTAGCTTTTATAGCGTTTTTAGCCGAAGGAACCTTGCAGTATAATTCGATATCATAGTTAGAAGCTGTGTATAACACTCAATTTGTAATCTCAAACTTCTCGTGATATTTTACATTAGTTTCATCCATTAAACAAGCGTTAGAATGTACTAACGAAGAGAAATTGAACGATGAAGTTTCATTTATTCCTGTCAACCGTGTATAATTGACACACAACTTATTAAGCTTTCAATGATCATGCTTTTACCGGTAGAGGGTGGTCCTTTAAAAAATAAATTATTTTTCTTCCCAGATTTTTTGTGAAAATGGTTGTAGGTTATGTCAGCATATTCATGCACATCAATAGAGTTCATTTCTAACCATTTCGTTAATTTGACCAATTGCTCCGAAAAATTAATGTCATTGAATATTTTTTTGTAATATTGCTTAGCTCTTTGTAACCTCTGGAATGATGTTTCCCCAAATGATATCATCTTACTTGTTTGAATAGCAATTTTGATTCTATCGTTTGCAAACTTTTTAAATAAGAATTCTTGGCCGTTAGGTTCGGCAGTTAACAAAATCTTTGCTGCTGATTCGGTAAAGCATTTATTTTCCAAAAACAACTCAATCAAGTAAGCATTGGTGATGATAATTCACTTCTTTGTCGATCCGTCAAAATCGCTATCACATTCATCAAAAGCTTCAAAACAAAATTGATTATTTTTCTCATTATGCTTACTACAACAAACTAAAGATTTATCTTCTTCTGTTAGAAAATCTGTAAGGACTTCTCGACCAATTTCCACAATGAAGGTAATTTTGTAAACATTAAATACAACCAACATTCTTTATTTTATGTTGTACATGTGAAATATCAATACCTAATTTGGAATTGGTCTTAAAACTTTCGATGTGAAGCTATGTATAAAAAATGCCAAATGATCATTTGTAGTACAGTACCTTTATATAGGACAACTATCTTCCATGGCGTATAGAAGTCATTTTCAGTGGCATCCATTTCATCCTTGGTGATGTTGTTGAAGTATCATTTGTTGATGATGTAGATGGGATTGGTGTATAGATGTCAATACCTATTATGTATAGATGTCTTGTTTCTTGAAGTATCAGTCGATCCTCATTTTCTTGGATTCCTTGGATTTCTTGGATGTTACTTGCGAAGACGAAGTTCTCTCAGACGATGTTTTTGGTGAAAAACCACATCCTCGTGGTAATAATGCCATTATATGTAAACAATGTACAGTTTTGTGAAGTGCCATTATTATATTAAGAAAACCACAACCTATTCATTAAAAAATTGTATACATAACACTCTGCCTCTAACTCAACACTAACCCGGAAGTTATGTTCCATCTACTTAAGTAGTTGCTAACTATCTGCATTCATGATTTATCTTTAGTTTGAAGAACATATCACCTTCAATTAAGATTGTAAACATTAAGTTATCTCAGTAGATGTGTTAGGAACAAAGGTGTAAAACAAAGGGAAACTCAGCATCTTTTTGGTAGTTTTAGCACCAAAACTAATCAATCAATCTAGCAACCACTAATCAGTCAATCAATCAATCAATAAAATCAATAATACACATTAAATTCAGCCGATCAATCCCCTCAAGCCACAAATCTCCTTCCTTGGTGTGTATGCGCCGATGCCACACCCACTCCCTGGTAAACATTTTGCCACCAGCGGACAAAATCGGGCAGTAATACTTTACATCACTTAGGGGCCTGTTTCATAAAAGTACTAATATTATAAGCTAGTAATATAAGCTTATAAATTTTTATTTTATAAGTTGGCAATTTTCTGTTTCATAAAAAAATGTACAAACTTATAAAATATGACACTTATAATATAAGTTATAAGACAGATATATATCTGCTATGCAATGGTATAATTGTACACCACTACCAAAAAGTGTAATTTGTAATTGTTCTTTGGATATTAATGAATGGTTCCTATTTGTTGGATGCTGTAACACAGGCTTGATTGTATTTATAATATTGAAATTTGCATAAATTTAATGAATATAATTGATAGCTTAACCTATACCTTTCATTTAACTCATAAGTTTATTGAATTTGAAAGTAAGAAATCCTTTGTGTAAATGTTCTTGGTCTTCTAACCATCACTATGTCTCTTTCATCACTTGATCGCTTGATTGCATCTCTATTTTGATAAAATTATTAATATATTTTTACTTTACTACATCTTACTAGAAGATCACAAGTCACAAGTAAAAATTCTATGGATCAAAAAAGGCTTATAATATATTACTCTAAACTTTTGGGTTATAAAATAAGTTTTTTATTGTTTTTGAAACAAGATTTGTGTAAACACTAGTATTATAACTGGTATTATGGGGTGTTAAACTTATAACTTGTTTTACAAGCTTATATTTTTATGAAACACAATACTAGTATTATAATTTATTATTATCAGGTAAATACTTATATTACAAGCTTATATAATTTTATTAAACAGGCCCCGGTCTCCTTTTTACAGAATTTGTATTAGGCCTTTATAACTTACCAACTCTTTAGGGGAGGAAAAACTCCTTTTGCAGGGTTATCATTAAGATTTGATGAGGCCTGTAAAGTAAATACCTTAACAATGACTAATATGAGGTACATACCTTTACATCAACAGTTCAATTTTCTCGTCAGTGGAACTCACTACATGTTTCGCCTATTCAGGCATCGTCAGGTGATATCCTAGCAAGAATGCTTTGTCTTCATCCATGATGGGGTCGACAAGAAACATTTAAATAAATACACACACATTACGCACGAAAACATTTAACAATTAATTAGTAGGCCTACTATTACCGGTCGCGGTACCCCTCTGCCTCCGTACCGCAACCGGTAATAGTAGGCCTACTAATTAATTGTTAAATGTTTTCGTGCGTAATGTGTGTGTATTTATTTAAATGTTTCTTGACGACCCCATCATGGATGAAGACAAAGCATTCTTGCTAGGATATCACCTGACGATGCCTGAATAGGCGAAACATGTAGTGAGTTCCACTTACGACAAAATTGAACTGTTGACGTAAAGGTATGTACCTCATATTAGTCTAATTAAACAGTTCAGGGGCTACATCATGAATTTTAATCTTAACAATGTCTTAACAATGTTAATGTTAACAATGCACAGACGGAGGTATGTTGTCAAGTCCTTAGTAGGGCTTAAGTTAGTAGTTTTTACACATCCGTTGAAGAGGTGAACTCGATTTTTTTTAAAGCTATTATGTTCTGACATATCATTAGTGATGTGATACTTAATATAGTTAGATGCTTGCGATTTACAGAAGTATGAAAGTAATGTCACATTTTCTTGGCTCAAAACTAAAATTGAAACCCCTCAACCTCAACAACTACCTTATTACCTCCTCCTTGGCTTGATACCAGCATATAAGCTTGATAGGCTGTGTCACTAATGTTTATAATCAAAATACTAGGTACAATAAATACAGACTTCCGCCAACTTTAGGATTTTACTTAAAAGTGTGATACATTACTTTTAGATTTTAAAAACTTGAATGGCGGTGGATTTTAAAGGATTGTGAGGTCGTCCTTAAAGAACTCCTTAAGTTTATAATATGGCCTAGCTTTCAACTAACACCTGGCTTGAAATTGTTCGAGATTCATATCCTTCACTGTCTCCGGCAACTTATTGAAGAGTTTGAGGGACATGACTGGGAAGGCACCTTTTGTCTTGCTGTGCCTACAATAAGCTACATCAATGTGACTCTTGCATCTGGTGTTATGCGCATGCAACTGTTGCCTAGTGTAGTAAAAGTGTGCAAATTTGAGTGTACGTAGTTGACACATATTGAAAGATGTAGCAGGCCCGTTTTTGACCCTGTCTGCACCCTAGGCACAAATAATAGTAGCGCCCTTTTGCAAAATATATACAATACAATATATTGCAATACAATATTGCAATATTACAATCTTACTAATATTATAAATGTGAAAGTTTGTGTGTTTGTTTGTTTGTGTTGTGAAGTTCAATCACGCATTAATTACTGGATGGATTGGGCTCAAATTTGGCATGATGATGGCTCACATTCCCGATTAACATATAGGCATATTTTTATCTCAAAAATCCTTACGGGCTCCGCCCCAGTGGCTCTAGAGTTTCCCATGTTAACCTTATGAGTACTCATATTTAAATGGAATTAAAGAATTTATTCAGCTGTTTCAACTAAAAAGGTTTGTTCTATGATATGCAAAGGCATTAAAAGTTATAAGATTTACCAACAGGATGCAGCACTATTATTTTTTTTTTTCATTTATGAAAACAGCTAATTTGAACTAAACAGCAACAAAAAACTGTGATACACAATGAGAACTGTCTGTTTACAGTTATGTTTATGTTTTTAATTTCACAAATAATTTGTGATATTATGAGAATCTTTAATAATTTATTTTTTTCTATTGTTTGGGTGAAGTGGTAGAACATTATGGCTATGGTAGATGTGTAATACTAGGCCTATAGTATACCGTAAATTTAAAGAAGCAAATTTTATCATACTTTGTCCTCCCTCATTGCAAACGCTAAGCTTGAGTATAACTGTAGCCTACTAAGCATTTTATACTTATATGCCACTCCCGTACGAAGGACGGGTACTCTGCTAGTACAATATATATGCAATATATTGCAATACAGGGTGTCCACCCGGAAAACCGGGAATTATGCATGAGTTTTTTTTTTAAGCGGGAATTATGCGTGAACTTTTTATTTCTACCTGGAATTTTCAATTTACCGGGATCGTGCATGACAACAGTGAACCATGAGACTTTGTAATATGTCTACAGAATTTTCCGCGATCACGGAAGACGATGATAATGTTGGCACGACCGCGGGAAACAGCAAGGATTTTGCAGCGATTGTGGAAAACAATGATGATCTCTACACGACTGAGGGATATGATTAACATTTTGCCGCAAACGCAGGAGACGATTACGACGTTTTCACGACCACGGGAGACGATTACGATGTCTACAGGTCCACGGGAGATACAATAATGATTTCTACACGGCCGCGAGGGATGGTCAGAATGTTGCCTCATTCGTGGAAGACAATGATTTCCACATGCCTGTGGGAGATGATTACCATTTTGCCGCAATCACTGGAGGCGATTACTAGCCTATGTATACACAACAGTGGAGGACGATCTTCCCAACCGCGAGTGTTGGTAAAAACTTTATTGTGATTGGGCAAGACGATGATAATGTTCACACGATCGCGGGAAAAGGTCAGAATTTTGCCTCATTGCCAAAGACAATGATGATCTCCACAAGACCGCGGGAGATGAATACCATTTTTCCGCAATCGCTGGAGGCGATTACTATGTACACACGACAGCAGAGGGCTATATATTAAGCCAGCCAACAACAAATTATTTATGTACGGGGTAGAATTGTACCCCCTATCAGATAGCCAAATGTGTACGGGGTGGAATTGTACCCCCCACTTGGACAGGTAGCTTGGCTTGTAGGACGGGCTGGAATTGTACCCCTCCCCCTGTAAGTCTTCAAACGTCTTTCAATTAACTTAATTGGTATTATTAAAATGAAATAGTAGTGAATGCCTTCTAAAGTGACGTATGTTGGATTTTTAATCCTGTACAGAAAATAGTTATTGTACTAAGGAAATATTATTGTGAAGAGATTGTTTAAACATTTGGCTTCACCACTTTACTTCGCCTCGGACTATATGGATATTTTATTAATTTCCTTTAAACAAACCATGAACAGCCTGATTACATTAGGCCTATTGCTTAGTTTGATTTTATAATACTGTTATCTAAATAACTTAAAACCTGTTCGTGAAATTTAACTTTTACTCACCTTCAAACTTCAAAAATACACAAGACAAAGCCCGAAGTCAATTTCGGAATGTCGTAAGTAGGCCTTTTTAATGCTAACAATCTAATAAATAAAAATATATCAATAGTAAATAATACAACATTACGATTCCGGTGAATGGTGTTTTGCCTTCGTCTCGCACGAATGTAGTACCTATATTTTTGGAAATATATTAAATTGTAGGAGTTAGGTCTTTTTTGTTTAGTTTGTTAATATTTTAACCCTAGCATTGACGACAAAATGTTAAAGTGATGGAACCCTACTCCATAAATTCCAATAGGCTACCTATTTCTAGGTAATCATGAACATATTTATTTAATCAAAATAGGCTATAACTTACCGTTGCCAAAACAATTGATTTATGTTTTATGCCTATAGCCTCCGGTTTACCGATTAGGCTAATATTAAAATAATATGGAATCGATTTTTTAAATGGCAATCCTAATTTTATTGCAATTTTTAATGATTACCGTAAAGCAGATATTTACATAATTTTGACAATATAAATTCAGCTCCACACTTACTCCGTACGCATAGAGAAAGCTTCAATATTACTCGTTAAATGACAAATTTTATTATAATTTAACATAAACAAACAAAGACAAATAGGTCCAATGGAAAATATTGTCAATACCGGTACATTATTTGTAAAAGTGTGAGTGGTCAAATTTAGAGGTTTTGCGTTTTCAAGTCCATTCTAAGGTTGGAGTTTAATGCATATTATATTATATTTATTTTAGATGCCAAACATTTATTAATCACCAGTCAAATGGGGGGGAGCAATTCCGGGCCGTACATCTACTTCTGCGGTCACCAGGGGCACAATTCCACCCCGTACTGACCAAAGAAACGTGAGTTCTAACTGGGGGGTACAATTCCCGAAAGGGGGGGGGGTATAATTCAGGCCCGTACAGTTTTTTAGATGCCAGTGGATTTAATCGAACCTCTCGTGCATAACAATATCAAAGTTTATGAAGAGGGTACAACTCTAGCCCATACATGCCGTTTTGGTCGAGAAAATGAGACGTCAATAACCTGCAGGGGGTACCAGAGGGGTACAATCCCGCCACCCAACGAAACAAAGTTTAAGTGGTACTTCCGTGTGTCAAAAAACCAATTTTCTTTTTGGTTGGTAAATATGGTAAATGGTAAAAATACAGATTACCTTCTTTCCTGAGATTTTCTCCAATTGTAGTCCAAACTACATCTTTTTTTACGTGGTTTTTGTATTCCGGGTCACTCAACTTCCACAGCACATCATGTTGAGACACCAACTCGACAAGCTCTTCCTCTTCGGTTGAAGAACCGTTCATCTACACCTCTTTTTACCGTACAAGACATAATGAAACTGCAATAACTGCACGGTCACAACACAGGGGAACTCCATTAAACCTGGTGTTGTAATACCACAGCGGAAAATTTTGCACCGCATGCCGGAGATTCTGCGGTCTGTGGAACCATAGCTTAAGCTGGCACTTGGCAGATCGCTACGAAAGTATCTAGTTCATAAACATTATGTCCCGTCATGCGGGTTGCATCAACTGTCCTCGCGACCCATATGAAGGTGCTTAAGTACCCTACATAATACAAGGGGAGTCAACCCTCTGATGCAGCGGAAATGTTTGCAGTCCGGTCTTTTCCCTACCTCCACCCTCCTCCCGCCAACACTGCCCACGCTAGGCCAAATGTCAGCTTAGATGTCACAAGCTGTGTGTGCGCGCGCGCGTGTGGTCGTCTGGTCGTAGTCTAAGAAAGCAATTGCATATCAAAGACCCTAGGTTTGTCTTGCTAATTAAACTCCTTTAACATTATCTCAACAAGAACCGATCTCACACATACAAACATGTTGACATTTTTATGAGAATAAGGAATTTTGCAAAAACAAGGAAATGCGTGTAAATTAGGCCGTTTTCTTTAAAACATTATTTTACTAACACATAGTTCAACTGTTTGTTTACAAGAACATAACCTCAAATTAGTATATTTTTACTTTGTTACAGTAAATTAAAATATCATTATTCATACTTCACTAAGGACACTCACACAACAAGCAGCTTTCTCCTTTTAATGATTTTTTTCTCGGACAATCATCTATTAATTACATCGTCAAACAAAAATTAATAGTAGGCCTAATGGAGTTCGTCATCGTGAGGGGGTAAGAAGTTAAGTTATTTATAGAACTGAACTGAATTACTGAAACTGAACTGAACTGTCGAACGAACTAACTACAACAACAAAGGCTACGGACGGACGGAGACTAGACTAGACCGTTAGACTTGGCTGAAGCACTATGGTGGAAGTAAATAAGGTGTGCTACTCAGCCGGACGCCGGACGAGTTTGAGACCGTTCTGCGCATCGCGACGTGACGTCACCTTGGGGGCAAACCGCTTCGCGCGCGTATAGTATAGCTCAGCGTGACACTGCTCTATTAACATCAACATTTTGAACTGTTAGAATTGAGGAAAAATTATGAAACTTGACATGGACATCAATTATAAGTGGACGATGCGTGTTTTGAAAAAATAGTTTGTAATTGTTAAAAACTTAAGCTTGAAATCACTCTTTATACTTGGCCTTTCTTAAAACTATAAACATGTAAAAGTTAGTGGGCACCAAATCACGTACTATTTGGTTGGAAGCATTTGACCAGCGGGAAAGTTTTAGATAAAGATCCAAATTTAACTTTCCTTCAAACTATATACCGTTAGAGGCGTTATTTCCTGAGATATGCTAAGTTATATGAGCGCGTGATCGGAGCGCGTGCTGCGAGTCGAGTCAGTTGCCAAGTATTAATCACACATTGCCATCCAACAAATAATGTAGTTTCATGAATATAGTATCATTGATACTTTTATTCCTGTATTTATATTTTTATGTGAAAAATTTTTGTTTTGTTGACTTCAGTGTGTTTTTCCCCGTTTGAATATGGGTTATTTCGTAATAGTTCACAGAGAATATATAATATTGTCTCCTCGGTGAATAGGCGTTGCCAAATTGCATTTAAAGTATTGCAAATCGTTGTTGATTAGTTAAAACCAAAGTTTGAAAATAGTGGTTTAAATAATAAATGATCTTTAACGCAAAGGAATGTATTTAACGTAGTTTAAAAAATAAAATGTACTCTGTTAAAAAATAAGTTGGTGATTAAACATTGTATTTATAATCAGGTTAAAATATAAAATTGTTTCACTCTTGCAATACCATGATAATAAAATGTGATATTCCAGTTTTTCGACAGCTAGGAACCTATTTCACTGGGGTTGTTATCTATGTCACAACTTTGGCTCGGGTGCGGGAGTGTGTGCGGGGGATGATCACGTGTTGTTTGTTTTGTTTTCGTTTCTGTGTTCACCCCGAGTTGCAGTAGATGTCAGTTTTCCATAGGGCACACATCTTTTTACAAAAATGCCCCATTGTGCAGTGTCCGGTTGTTGTAATAGTTCGAAAAATAAGACAACGCAACCAAACGTGCGATATTTTAGTTTTCCTCAACAAATCAACAGGAGGCTAAAGCCGGGTTTTCCTAGACGCGGAGTCGGCGAGCGGAGAGAGGAACGCGGAGAGCGGACTCCACTTGTCTTAGGCAATTTAATGTTACTGTTTTCCTAGAAACGGAGCGGAATGCCATGTTAATTTCAATTCCGCTCTCCGCGTTCCACTCTCCGCTCGCTGACTCCGCGCCTAGGAAAACCCGGCTTTAGACAATGCTTTTTTGCTAGTGGCGAAAAAAGAAAATTTCTAAAGAAACTTAAAAAAGTTTAGAAAAATCCAGAGGTGATGAAATGTTTAATTTTTTAGATGTTTACTTTCAGGTCGTAAATATAAGATTGCAAAATGTAATAAACTATGTTTTTTGTTAAGGAAATGTTATTCACTTCCGATCCTATAAATTTTATGGCAACTGTTATCAAAGAGAGTTAATTTGTATAAAAACGAAGATGTTGCAACGCATTTTAATGTAAAACTTATTATATCTGTCACATGTTAATCTATATAATTAATACGCTACATGAAACTTTGTCGGTTGAACTCCTCCGCCATTTCTGAACCGATTTTATCCATTGACGTCTCATTGGAAAGAGCGTGTCGCGTAGATTTGCAAACTGGCCTTACATTTTTGAAAAAGACCCTTGGTCTCTGCCCCAGTGGCTTTAAAAGTTCCTATGTTATCCTTATGAAGAACATAATTGTTTACATTTTGATCAGCTGTATAATTTAATTGCTGTTATTTATTGTTCAATTCAATGAAACGCATTGAGGTACATTTATTTACTATTTGAGTTTGTGTAAACATAACCCCCAAGACGGATCGTGTTGGTATGGTTGTATCTTAAAATTGTGTATTTATCGTTGTTTTGTGACGCTGTGACGGATCGTGTTAGCATGATTGTAACTTAAATTTGTGCATTTATCGTTGTTTTGTGTAGCTATAATTTGTTTATTTGTTGTTTTTTCTTTGAAATGCCTCCGACGCTACTACAACGAAACATAGACAGGAGGCGTAATCGTGATAACGACCGCAACTACAGAACAGTGGCGCGTAATAGGCTTAACTGATCACAGTCAGCACCTGACCCCGGACAATCTCAACTATTAGGTTTCAAAAGCGCCCTGCCCCTAACACTACCCCAAAACGCATTTTCGTTCTCAATTATTGGCCCTCTATCAATGACCTGTGTTTTCTGTACACTGTACAGCGAGGCGTTTTGGGAAGGAGAAAACCGGCCGGAATGCTTTAGGTTTATCAATAACGAAGATAAACATGGCCTGAGTTACACACCGGTAATCTTTGAGTTGACTCTTTTAAACTCATTGTAAATATGACTGTTATTCGTTTAGAAATAACTCCTGTAATACTTTGCAATTGCTCGAATTCGAGCAACATGTACACTAGTATTAAATATTTCATTTAAAATGTAGAATACAAAGTATATCCTTATAACATGTAGCTACAGTGTTTTGGATAATAAATACGTGGCCTTATTATCCAATAAACGGTGGCATCGGCTGAGCGCGCGCTCAGTTGCCGCTTGATATAATAATTCTCCGTAGCCAAAAAAGTAATTCTTTTATCGAAATCAAATCGATACTACAGTTAAATTAGAACCTTTCCCTAAAACTTTCCCGCAGGTCTCATAAACCTGACCAAATAATACGTGATTTGGTAGCCGACTAACTTTTTTGTGTTAGTATGAAAAGTTTGAAGTTTTATCGGTGGTTGAATGGTTTTTAATTCAAATTAATTAATAAAATTCAAACCATAAGCATCCCATGTTAATAGTCCAAGACTATGCAAAGTTTCAGGAATTTGTATCGGTTCTTACTATTAAAAATTACAATTTTATTAGAGCGGCGTCGCTGCTCCATATGGTCGCGATGAGGCATGTTTGCCCCCAAGGTGACGTCACGATACCCCTCCCCCGCACCGCCAGTAGCCGACTACGATGCGCAGTAGCACATGGTGGGCTGAAGCTGGCTGACGAACATACTCGACGTTCTGTACCCACGAGCACCTCAGCTTCCACAAGCACAGAAGGCCTTCGAACAGTTAACAGGTAACACAGGGATAACAGGTATTAGTGTAATAGCTTCACCGTATATCTTTATTGGACCTGTTTCTGTTTAGATAGTTGTTTTTTTCAACAGTTACAGTAGCGAACTATACATTGTGATTTTGAAAAGGTGTTTATTCTTTAATCTTTACTGTTTGTTTACTTTTGACTTGAGCTGCTTGAAAAGGTGTTTTATGATTATGAAAATTAACGTTTTGTGAGTGTGCTGAAGCTGATTTGTTATTAGGGAAATTGTTTAGATGGGGGTGACCAAGCGTTCTATAGTAAGTTATATATCATTAGAAACCAGATTTTTACCTGAAAATAATGGTGCAAAAATTGTTCTGCTGCCACAAAAACTGAATTTACTACGATTTTTTAAAGTTTATTACTGTAATGCCTCTTTTCGGCTGGTCTCTGTCGCCATAACTTTACTGTGAATTGACTGACCAACACAAACATGAACGATTGAAATTGAAAGGATCGTCTAGGGAAGAAGAAGAAACCTAATATGACAAAGAGTAAGTTTATACAATGAGGTAGAGGCATTTATAAATTCAACTGAGCGTTGATTATGAACTACTTCAGTTCTTATTAAGACATGTGAGGTGGGTAGGTTGGGTGTTATGCGGACTGGTGACTGTATTAAGTGTTTTGAAGTTAGGTTGGATTAGGAAGGTAAAGTTTATAATGAATCGAGTTGTTGATTTATATTACCTCCAGGCTGTTTATGCACTTTGTTAAAAGTACTACAAACACAATAAATAATAATTCATTTTATTAAAACTGCCACTACACTATTATCCTCATGGGACATAACGGTTACATGGTCAAAACCTAAGCTAAGCCATTCGGTTACGTGAAGAGAAGAACTAAATGAATTCCTTCTTCAATTTTCATAATCCAGTCCCCAGCCAGATCCAGATTAAATATGTCCGAACTAGAGGTGTTTATTAATGTTGATTAATTTTAATCAAATAATACATGAGTTAAAGCCTAATTAAATTAACATAATTACCTTTCTAAGTGTGGGTTGTGAGGGTAATATTTACATTAAAATGGCATATAATCAATCAATAAATGTGAATTGTGCTATTAACTTCGATTATACAGTGTAAACATTGTAGTGCAGATTCAATGTTCCTAATAAAACATCTATAATATTAAAACGAAACAGTGTTTTTTTATTTCACGATTCTGAATCAACCACTCGACGGATTTTCATGATTTTTGTGTTGAAAGAAAGATAATTTTGAGAACTAGGGAATGTCGAAGCCATAATTTTAGTTTAGGATCCCAGTTTTTTAGAAATTAAGTTTTAATTTTTTTTAAGTCTAGCAGCCGACGCTAAGATTCTAAACTAGCTTTTGGCATAAAATAATTTGCTTAACATAACAGCTGTAAACATTCAGCTTTTGTGTCACAAATTCAGCATTTGGATAAAAATTTAAAGACATACTTAGGGTTGACTTATTTATACTATGTGTAATGCCAATCACTGATACGTTCAATTCTTCGGATAGAGGATGACAGATTAATTAAATATTCATAGTAAAATACTAGGATGTTCAAATTATTTTGTAAAGCAATCTTTGATTTGTTTTTGTGCAATATAA